ATTTTTTTAAAAAAAGACCATAAATTTAGACTCCTCTAGTTTAAAACTGACATTTAGTTCTGCCATTGCCAGTAATTAATAAAGTAATTCATTTACTCTTTCTAAGCCTCCACCTCATCAAAAAGTGATAATAACATATACCTCCCATATTGCAATGACCACAAATGTCTAATAATGTGAGAAGACTGTTACCCTATAAAATGTCATGTACATCTAATGTCTTGTTGTTACTATAACTATTATTATTCCTAACAGAGATTCCAAACGATCCTATAAAGTAAGTAGAACAGGTATTGCTCTGGTTTGACAGTGAAGTTCATGCTGAAGCCAGAAACAGGGCAAAGGCCCTCTGGCTCTTTACCTGAACTACTTTATTTCACTTCATCACGCTTGGACGTAACAAATTGGACCAATCTTCCCAAACATTTGCTTACTTTATGAGAGGTATTTGTCTTTTGTTAATCTAACTCTAACTAAAATGTGATTTTATTTATAAAATTATGTTTATTTGTCCTATATTAAAAGATAGGATATTCTTCTGAAAACACTGTATCTAACACACCCACAAAAAATATTAACTTTTATTTTTTTTAAAAGAGTATCCTATTAGAGAATAAAGTATTATATTTTCTTGTGAACAGAATATTACCTTAAGGTAGTGTATCTACTTTCTTTCTCCAAATACATACCCAAAAATTTAAAAGTCACTCATAATTAAAGAGAAAATGTCTTACGCAGATTAAAAGAAAAACCTGGATGCATGCTCACTTACAAAGACACATAGCTAAACACTTTGCGTATTCCTATGATTGTACTATTTAATTAGAGGACTTCAAAGGTTAAATATCTACTAAAATTTCTAAACCACTTAAAACAAAAGCCAAAGTCAAACCACAACAGAGAACACTTACTTTTATTCGGTGATCATCCGTATCTGCAACAGTTGCTACTCTAATAAACACAGGGTTTCTTTTGTCTACGATCTCAAGCTTCATTTTTTTCTGGAATCCATGTGGAGGTTTCTGCCATAACATAAAATTGTATACAGTGAGATTTAAAGGAAGAGAATGTAGACTTGACGTTACAAAGAAGAATAATAAGAAATAGAGAAGCTATTTAGAGAACCAGGCTTTCAAACTCTCAAGTTAAACAGAGTGGCTCCAGACCTCACCCTCCCTATTAAAAAACACCATCCCCATCCACACACATGCACAAGCACGGGGAATAAGCCTGAATACCTAGATTAGAAGCAAATAAGAAAGGTTAAAGCAATGATCTTAAGATAAAATTTAAAATTTTGTAGTTATTTGATTAGCCATAAGGAACACAAGAAATTTTTCTCATTAGTTGGAGGTGGCAAAAATCAACAAGCATGGAATTTATTTTTAAAAAGAGAAAGGAAGAACATTAAAGTAGCTGAGATGAGACACCAAGATTATAAGCGGTAATGAGGGCAAAAAGCAGAAGATATCTTTTAAAAAGAACATTAGCAATCAAAACACACAAGGTGGAACCATTTGTACAGGAACAGGAATGAGAAAGGGGGAGCTACAGCTACCAACAACTTCAGTACTCAGCAGAAACCTGTAAACCTCTGAAAAAGTTATAGGCAGTGGAAAGCAGAATGATTGTTTGGTATGGTGTTAGGCAAATTAATTAAATTTTCTGAGCTTCAGGCCCCTCTTCTGTAAAATGAGTATAATAAAAGTGTTGCTATGAAAATTCAATGTGAAAATTATGTAAAAGATACAGAACAATCTATCCTTTCCAAACTAGAGAGGTGTCAGATTTTTCTCTCTGAAGTGACACTAGATGTGTAGACTGGTCCTGATGTCATTTCACCCACTTAAAGCAAAGTGTAACGCAGCTCTGCTTTGTGTTAGATGAGATCAGGTGATACGGCTGTAGACTCTGCTTTGTATTAGTTAAGTTAAAGTTAAAGAGGGAAGATAAAAATTCATAAATATGGCATAACTCTAAACAGGATTCTTTTTTAAATCCTCAATTTACTATCAGATGGAATCATGCACATTCTTTGACATAGTTTCTCTTCATGGAATATGGTTTTGCTCTTAAAAATTTTTGATGTTCTTTTCTTCTACATTTGGTGCCATACCTACTAATTAATTCTATAATAATTTTAGCAATTTCTACATAAAAGGATTATGTAAAATATTATTTCTGATAGACTAATCATGCCACATTTTAAAAAATTAACTGATGTATCTTCTTTTCCTTTAAATATATGGGAAAATACAAATTACAAAGCAAGCTATTTGATATGAAAAAAGAAAAAATATATTTCACTTCTTATTCTTCCTTTGCACAGAAATGAGGTTTACTTTGAATCTTAATATGTTACATATAAGAAATAATGACCCTGGATTAGAAAGATACTGCAATAAAAGCAGATGATGTTGTAGTTTGGTAATTAAACATGCTGATTTGCAGCAATAAAATAAAAAACAGCATCTCGGCTTGCCATAAACAAATCCAAAGAAATTTTCAAATATAATTTTCATCAGAAAACATTTTGCTGTCATGTTTTCCTGTCTTTCAGAGTATATAGCTAGAAAAGCAAGTTTTCTGTAAGATTTCAACAACTCGCCCCATACAATGTTGAGTAGAATTATTTTCCAAGGAGACTCTGAAGTCCAAAACGAAAGTATTTTTGGATGTCAACAAAAATCCCAGTAACAATTTTGATTTCCAAAATTGTAAAAATCCAAAAACATCTTATTTGGCCTGTTTTCTTTTCATTCCTATTCTGATTCAACAGTACCATCCCTCTCTGTTCTTAATTTTCAATGAATAAATAATATCATTAGTACAAATTAATTAAATAGTGTGAAATGTATTATCTTACCACTTTGAAAGCTCTCGCAGGAGCAGGTAAAGAATTGGTTTCTTCTAAGTATTTATCCCAAGAAAAATGTTTCACATTTGGATAACCTAAGAAAGGAAGAAAAATGTAAATCCTATGAGGTTTAACAAAAATCATAATAAGAATAATAAACTGTCCAACAAAAATTATCAAATATCATTATAATCTAGGAAATTATGTTCATATACACATAACTTTACAATAGTCACACATTCTGTACTATCTGTAATAGAGAAATTGTTTTCATCTTGGTCATTATTTCTCTACTACTTTGTAAATGAAAATTTTATACATATATATGTATAATTTATAATCTCAGGTAAGGATAGTATTACAAGACAGACATATACATACATACACAAAAACCCTTTAGTAATTTTAGTTCTGCTAATCTGGGAAAACCTCATATATGTGTACAAAGATAATGCACAATTATTTATAAATGTGAAAAAAAATGTAAAAATAAGTTAAATTGATCCTCAATATAGAAATGTGCAAAAAATGTAAACTACATATGAAATAGAAAGTATTTATTAAAAAGAATGTGGCAGAGATATATATACTAGTATGTGACACATCCTAGATATATCTTCATACTGTTAGGTCAAACAAAGAAACATACAAAACATGGAACGTGATTAATAGAATGTGTAAAAATAAGTATGCTTTCCTTGCTCCCACCCCATTTGGTTTTCTCCAGAGCCCAACATAGGCACAAGCAGGAATTGTGGTAGCCCAGTACGGTGGGAAATTTGCTTCATAAAGGACTGAGAAAATAAGCAAATATGCTGGAGACAATGGTGGCCAGGTTTCTCACTGACTGAGAAGCATAAATACGCGAAAAGGAAAACTAGAATGAAGCCACTGGTGTTGGATTTGTATTGGAGTTAATATTATAAATTCGTGGTTTTAATGTATATAAACAGATATGGAAACAAAAACAAATTTTTATATATATTTACATATATATTTTTCTTAATTATGTCCATGGAGAGGCCTGGAAGCATCAACACGCAAGTTGCAGTAAGCGTAGCTAGCATCCAAATCTTAGTTTCTAAATACCACCCTCTACTAAAAAGAATCATGGATCCTTGAAGAACTGGCTAAACTGTAGGGTTGGGTCAAAGACAGTACAAGATAAGCCTAGCTGTGCCAGAAAGTAAGAAGTTCTCAAAAAATGATAAGAACATGTCAAAAGGACATTGAAATATACATAAAGGAGCTCCCAACTGGCTAAAATCTGAGAAAATCTGGACATAACAAATAAATAATACTAATGATAGATAACTCATTTGATAAAAATAGAAATAATCTATGGGTCCACATTATATAAATAAATTAATTAAATGAATAAATGGGAAGATGAAAAAACTTTTCTTTGCAGGAGAATTGTTAGAAATGACATCACTGGAACAACTGACAAACTTGACCTGAGTCTCTGGGTCAAGGGTATAAATGAGCTCCATACTATTGCAACTTTTCTGTAATTCTGAAATTGTTTCAAAATACAGTGTTTTGAAAGTTAAATATGCAAACATATTTCTGTATATACATTTTATGACATATTTTTAAGGAACATATCTTGCACAATTCAAATAATTTAAATCAGAACATTCTAGTAAATAAAACTGAGGTGTATGCATGTGTGAGGTGTGAATACCTATATGCAAAACGGTTCTGGAAAGATATGAAAAACGATTAAACTATTAAGAGAGATAACTATGGTTATCTCTATTTTCACTCCCAAACTTAAAATCCAGCATGTATTAATGTATAATTTGAATAATTCAAAATAAAAATAATTGTAAAAGGCACGAAGATTTTAGTTTCAGAAAAAGAACAATAAAAAGAGGCCACGCGAGAGAACAGGAACGTGGCGGTAGCCTGCAGGGCTGGTGGGAGGTGGGGCATAATGGAGGGAACCGAGTGGTTAGGATCCCTTCTTTGCACACAGGAGATCAGAGATTGAGCCAGGAATCTGCCCTTAGAGAAAAGGGATGAGAGAAATTGTGTCTTTTTTGTCACAGAGCAAAGAGTAACATCAGCACTTGCCCAGCAAATCAGTCTCATTATTTGGCAGTGTTTGTTTGTTTGTTTTTATATTTTTTTAAATTGTGGTAAAAATACACAACATAAAATTTATTCATTTTAAGTGTACAATTCAGTGGCATTAAGTATATTCACATTGTTATGTATTTGGTACTTTTTCACATAAAATTCTGTATTTTTTAAAAAGTTTGTCAAAAGCTGTATTTTTTTCTCTTCTGCTGAATTATAAAAGTCCATAAAAGGAGACAGATGACTTGGTTCTCCACCTCACATAAGAAGTCAGCCTTAATAATAATGCCTTCCCCACCCTTTCCCAGGCTACATAACCAGGAACCTGCTGGTCAATGGTTCATTGTTTATTTACCAGATCTCTGACTATGATCAAATATGGCAGTGGGGAAAAAAGGACTGTCATCAAATTGGGAAATAATATAAAAGGATCCTCACAGCAGGTTAGACGGTGATGGTGGCAAAGAAACAACTATGCAATCACCAGCCTCTAATATTTTATAAGCCACAGCATAGGGCTGAACACGAGAAATCTTCCAGACAGCACCACATCTGGGTCATGAAACCATTAATACCTTGCTTTGACACTTTAAGATTTACATCAGTGCGTTTTCATTTTCAAAACAGTCCTGTAAGTTAGTCAGGACAGAGGCTTTAACATATGAGCAAATTCAGGAAGTGGATGGGACTTGGCTCGCTGTCACAGGAATGGCTGGTCCCCAGTGAGTAAATGACCAGACACTCTAAGTGAGACACTGCATCAAGGACTGGAGGACAAGCCTACAAATGAAACCAGCTGTTAGAAGTAATGAGACAAGTATCTCAAGTTCCAGCTGAGTCTTTGCTGCTTATATGCTGCAGGCTGTATCTACAAAACATCCTAGCAAACCCAGGACTCATCTTTCTCTGTAATAAAGAGGTCTTCACTGCTCCTGTTTGATGTTCGATGAGCGACCACCTACTGGGCCGTGATGCTTTATGACAGCTGACGATCCTGCTTTTCAGATCAGCAGTGGCCATGGCACCTTAAGTGAGATGTGCTCAGAAATACACCGTCTTGCTTACAATGAAGCCACCAAATCTCTTCTTTGGCATGTGAAAATGAACTCAAAATGATATAAAACAAGGACACTATTTATCAGCTGTTACATTGTTCCCTGTTAAAGAAAAAGCGAATAAGCGGAGAAGGCTCTATGGCCAGAAGCACACAGCTGAAGCACCCAAAAAGCTCAGAGAACAGAGAGGTACCACTAGCACAAAGGTGCAAGATCTAATTTGGAACCAGGAATCAAAACAGAAAAAGGGAAAGCAAATGTGTAAGCTCTAAACTAAGTAAAAAACCTAAACCCTCAAGTTCTCACTTAAATGTGAACCCTGTGCTTCTGCCAGGACAGATATCGACGTAAGAAGTCCATGCTCCATCCACAAATTCTGTCCCACCCTTATCCATTCTTCCAGACTTAGCCAAGCCTTAAAGGATTCACTTCAATGGTTAGACAATATATTTAAGTGTATAAAGTCTAGAAATGAATTTCAAGTTGAGAGATGAAAAATCTTTTAAAATAGAACTTTTTTTTTTTCCCCCAAAGAAGACATAATTTGAGATTCTGTTACGGACTAAGCCAACGCTTAATATACTTGAAGGTACATCAGGGGTCAGCAAACTAAGCCTTGCAGGCCAGCCTGCCTGTTTGTGTAAATAAAAGTGTTACTGTAACACAACCATGCTCATGTGTTTACACGTTGTCTATGCTTTTGCCCTATAACTGAATTGAGTAGTTGTGACAGAGACTCTGTGGCCTGCCAAGCCTACTTGGTCCTTTACAGGAAAAGTCTGCCTATGCTTGAAATCTATGCATAATATTAGACACATAATAAACACAAACCTGGTGGAGTAATAAGGGTTCTTCTATGTTCTTTACACCAACCAACTGGATGAATGTGTGGACTAGATGCTTCGCACCTGTAAGTTATACGAATTAAAAAACTGCAATTATCAGGATAAACTCACAAATGCTAGTAAACTAAAAAAGTTAGAGATCAGAAACATTTACACAGAGTTCTATTTATTACAATTTATTTAATTTGAAAAAAAATCACTACACAAAAGATCTTTCACTCTGCCAATATATTAATACCTAGTATACTTTTAAGTGATAAATAGCCTGTGGATTTGACATTATGCAGTTTTCTTTCCCTCCCAAATTTTGTTACATTCTGTAGCTTCAAATACAGCAAAAGTGAAAAGATAATGTCATTAAAATTTGGAATTTCTATTCATAAAAAAATTATATGGAAAAATAAACAGACTGTGTATACACAGGCAAGCTAGAATTATTTCAGCATTTCTAAAGGCAAAATGCAAAGGCAGGACATTTAATCAACCTCAAAAACCAACATGCTATTTCACTGTCCATTAGAATGGCAGACACCACGTATTAGGACAAAGTATGTCTTTTTCCCACTTCTCTCTTCTCCTCTCTGTCATCTTTACCACAGTCAACCACGTATTTTCCCAAAACTTCTTTATCAGCATGCGTAACTGGTACATCTGATTCCTCGCTCCTAACCTCACTTGTTCTATATATTCCTCATCTCAACACACAACACACTGCAGTCTACCAACATCACATGGAGCACAAGTGTTCTGTAGAACATAGTTTGGAAAATGTTGGACTAAAGGGTGCCAAGGAGTCCAGTCTTGCTCTATTAACTGGTTCTCTTGATACTACCTTGAGATCAGAAAATCTCAGTGTAGCCCTCTAGATGGAGAACAAGAAGGCAGGAAGCCAGGAAAGGTGGCTGGAGTTTCTGGGGAATAAAGAAGTCTTCTGAGCGGTGAAAAACAAAGAACTTGCTAAGAAATGTTCTAAGTGAATGAGATTAACACACAGTCACAACATTCCAAACCAACCTTTCTGAGAGCACAGCCTTAGATAGTACCACTTGGTGAGTCCGTGTAACCACTACTGAATGTTGACTTTTCTCAGAACTTACCTCAGCAGAAAATACCTTTTAACTTAATTAAAGGTGTCTTCCTTTATTCACTTATCTTGGAGCCTTCCTACTTCCAAACTATTAATATTTTTCCTAACCTATATATCAGGGTTAGGTGTGTACATGTCATTATTTTAGGAATATGAAAAGAAAACAAGTACTGCTAGGTCAATGCCAAGTTTATATGGCAATTGCTAAATTATCTTACAATAGGTATTTTCATAAAGGATATTTCAATACATGATTTGTTAAGATGCCTTCTGTTATAAATTACTTAAACAAGGCTATGGAGCTCTATTTCCAGCTATCCCAATCTTTTCCTAAGGGATCATTTTGGTTATGGATTATTACTAATGATGTGCTGCCTTTACTTTAGGGAATGGTGTTAATTCATATATGGCTTCATTAAAAATGGAAAAATAACAAATATATGACATTTAAAAAATTTTTTTCCTTCCCAATCTAACTATAAAGTAGTTTTTATAATTATCTGTCAAACTCATGGTGGTTATTTTAAAGTAAGAACATTAAGCATTACCCTTGATTTTATTTGATTTCTCTATAAACTGCTATTATGAAAATACTGTGGCATATTATGGCTACTTATCCCTGTACTACATGAATCTTACACAGGGTTTTATAATATCGAAATAATGATCAAAGTTATCATTTAAAATAAACAAGGAAGCCATTTTAGCTTCTCAATAGAGAAGACAGAAATATTCCTATTTTTTTCTATTTTACTTATACTTTTCCTTTTTTTCTTTTTAATGCACCTGTAACAAGAATATTTTACTTATACTCTTACTAAGCAAACAACACTTCATTCCAAAGTTGGAAGGCTGCGAAATTTCTGCTACTATTGTAAAACAAGTCATCTCTTAGTCCCATCTAGTGTTCAAAAGCAGAAATGTAACCAAAGAGAAATACAATGACGAACAACGGTGAAAAGTTTGGCAAATCGTTGATTCTTGTACTTCTCTCTTTCTTCTAGGTTTTTATGTACGTTATGAAAGAAGTGTACTTCAAAAAGTTTTGTTAAAGTCCATTTCACATATAAGTGCAAATTACTCATAAAGACTGCTAAGATCCCATCAGGCCTAGACGGTATTTTGAAACGGTCAGAAACCAAAGAAATAATTCATGAAAAAAAACATGTTTATGATATAAGGATAAAGGCAGCAGACGCGAAGATCCTCGCTTTATGGAAATCAAAGAGGTTAAGTGACTTCACCAAGCCCTTGGGTAGAAAAGAAAGAGATCCTGGTTTTATCAATCACAGCCAAAAGCTAAACAAAACTAATGCACATATGCTGGGCTCCACGATTCAGGCAGAGTCAAAAGGGAACACTTCAAGATCCTTACTTAAGGAAAACATCAAAGTCTCTTCATTTCAAGCAATAATGGTTTGGATTCTTTGAAGAAATACAGGACACTTGGCTTCCCCCTCCCTAAACCCAGAGCATTACTCTGACAATTTATTAGGCAGGACCCGATTCTCCTGCTCTCCCTCACATGCAAACTCTCCAGGGCCGACACTACTCCGTGCTTTACTATGAAACTCCAGCCTTATTGGGCCGAGTCATCTAGTTCTCTTTTCCATCCTTACTTCATATCCAATTCCATTTCCCACAGTAGCTATTTTAAATATTATTAATTTGTTTCAAACTTAAAGCCTTTCGCACACACAGTAACTACTTGGCATAGATACAAGTGGTGCCATCTCATCACCCTCTTGTCAAATTTTCCTTTTACTCCTTCCTTTTCTCCAGGCCGAGAGAAGAAAGTCTATTTCTTCCCAAGGCTAGCCCCTCCTGGGAGACCTGGTGTCACCCATAATCCTTAGTCTTGGAAACCTCCACTCTCTCCCTCCACAGCGGCCTCCTGCCTTCTGCCTAAAAACCAAGCTCAAGATGCTCAACGTGCAGGGAATCCCCTTAGAAATGGTCTCCCTCTCAAGCAATCATCCTCTTTTGCCTTCAGCACCTAACTTCTCTGCTCGATATCCCTTATAGCCCTTCAGCCTTTTGCAAATTGGTTTCTGCTCCTAAAACTCTTACTTTAATCCTCACAACACCTGATCAGATAGGCATTATTATTAATCCCTTCTGCAACGGGGGCGACTAAAGCTTATAAGAGTTAAGTAATTTACTGAATAAACTGGCTGCCATTCCCCAAACACATGCTACCCCTGGGCCAAAACACAAGCAAGAGCTTTCCTTGGCCAGGAATATTCCACCTCAACATCTCCGTACCAATTCCTTCACGGTCCAGCTCAAATCCTCTAAGAAGGCTCCTCCAAGAAGCCTTCCCCAAGAATCCTCCAGTGAGTCTGAGTCAGTCCTTCCCTCCATAAGCCACCACAGACAGCAAGTGGTTGGTTCTAATAATTAAGCCCTAGCCACCATCTACCTTGCAGCCAAGACCGTGGTATTTGTGTTTCTCTCCTTCCCCGGACCATGAGCCCCTCAGGGCCGAAGCTCAGAACTGCCTAGGTCCCACTCGCCTCTGGAATCCTCCCACCACCACCAGCCAGTGTGCTTCCCAAAGTTAACCAAATAGTGACAAGTCTTTTAACTTTGGCACTACTCTAAAAGATTGACAACATGTTGCAAACTTTTCAACATTATTTTAGGGAGACATAAAATGACTATTACTTTCAATTTATAAATGTAAAAGAGATTCATCTCTAAATAAAAGTTTACAGTGTACTTAGATGCAGTCAGTAAAGGCCTCAGCACATTTGTTCTAATTCACTAACTTAAAGCTTCTCTTTTTCATAGATCTGTTTGTGCCAATTTTTGCCCTGACTCACCGGGACACCATACTAAAATGGAATCGGTGTCTTCATGCCTGTAGTCCCAGCTATTTTGGAGGCTGAGGTGGGAGGATTGCTTGAGCCTACGAGTTCAAGGCTTCAGTGAGCTATGATCGCATCACTGCACTCTAGCCTGAGTGACAGAGCGACCCCCGCCCCCTTCACTTAAAAAAAAATGGCTGAAGCTGCAACCTCATTTATTTAGGCTTTCTTCTACTTAACAATGGGCATGGTGCTAGGATTACTACCATACTTTGGGATCTCTACAAAAAATAGGAAAATTAGCAGGGCGTGGTAGCATGCACCTGTAGTCCCAGCTACTTGAAGAGGCTGAGGCAGGAGGATCCCTTGAGCCCTGGAGTTTGAGGTTGCAGTGAGCTGTGATGACACCACTGCACTGTAGCCCAGGTAACAGAGTGAAACTTTGTCTCTCAAAGAAAACAAAAACAATGGGCTAACTCCTGATGTCATCCCTTCCTGGATCCCAAAAGACAAGGGCACATGAAAATAACATTTTTTCAAAGAAAGATTCCTTCCCTGTGCCTGGGGGTAAAGAGGAGGTGACTGTTCTCATTATATGTTCTGGCCAGAGTCCAACCCTCAGGTGGTGAGAACATGATCAGAGAAAGAGGCTGCAGTGCCAAGGATGGTGTCACCCTCCCAGTGCTCACTCACCTTCCTGGGCCTTTCAAGTCCTTGCTAGTTCCAACATTCTGTGATATTTAGAATTATTCCTAAATCTAACGACTGCTAAGGAGATAGAATTAAACAGCTATCAACTATCAGTAACAAAGCATAGAAGAAACCCAGAGGTAAAGTAATTTTTATTCTAATGCATACTATTTTCCTGATATAAAACACTACTCTCTCAACCTTACATAAATTTTTATCATGTTTCTCTTTGGAAGGAAGAAATATTTTATTGCATCTAAACATGCAGTACCACAAATACATACAGATATATATATGTTTTCAAATTCTCACTAACGTAAAAGAGATAGGACCACTATTGAATTTGAAGGAAAAAAAATATCTCATTTCCAAACTATTTTAAATTGGGAAAGGCAATCCAATCTGTAAACTCAATTACATACCTAAGTAATTTATGCAGATAAAAACCATTCCAAAATTCAAAGATCAAAGAACATAATATTTAGTAAAACTGGAAAAATTCCAGGACACTTAAGCAATTTTCAATGTGCCTTAATTGCATGTTGAGGAAGAGAACACACTGTTTTCTTTTTCTGACAATTAACAAAGTATGATTTCATGTCAATAGTTAGGAGTATAAGTAATCCTCAAAGTACATTCTATCCCAGAAATTATTAGTTTGTCCTCATAAAAGTACACAACCAGACTTAAAAGAGGTCAATTTTTATCTTTGCTTTTTCTATTTTTAAAACCTAGGGTCTTTTTAGAACCCAGGAACCATCGCGTTTGTTTCTCAGGTATTTGTC